AAATGGATATTAAAGAACTGCCCCTATGCATTTAATTGTAACTAACCAGGAGGAACTGGTCAGTGATGTGAAAGGATCTTCCAGGAACCCCGGGAAAAAGTGACTACCTTATCTGTGCTCTCCAAGTAGTTTATAATATCAGACATAGACATAATATCAGACTCTGGAGTTCAAAAAGTTTATGAAATGAAAAAAATGGTACTATCTTTGGGGAAAGTCATGTAACAACAGGTAATAAGTGTTCCAAAACCAATTATATCCTTTCATTTAGGGATCCTGTAACTAGAATGTTATTTAAAATGAGGGGGAAGGAATTTGAGATCCATTAATAAAAATATCACAAAACATTTTTTTTAATTGCAAAAAAAAAAACCAAACCTAGAAAATTACACTTTGGGGAATGGCTGAGTAAGTTGTCTATGACCCTATGAATAGAATGGAAAGTTGCTGTACCCTAAAAATGACAATTATGAATGAGGAAATACATATGAAGAAAAAGACTTTTAGATAAAGTGATAGGGAATAAAAGTAGATGTATATGGAAGTACTCAGATTTTGGAAGGGATGGTGGGGCTTGTTCAGAATAAAATTTTAAAAACAGAATTAGAAAAATTAGCCTGGGCCAGAGCAACATAAAATAACAAAAGCAACAAAATCTGATAACAATACAGAGAAGAAAAAATTTAAAAAGGGGGGGGAGGAAATGACATTTTTATTATTACTGTTTCATTAAAGTTGATATACATTTTTTGAAATTAGTGAACAGTAGTTTTTACAGATGGTCATGTTTTATTTTAGGTGAAATTTTGTTTTTGTTGATGGCTACCAAGCTAAGAATTTAAAAAAATAAAAAGCATGTCTTAAGGAAATGAGGGCTTAAAAGTGATGGACGATAGACTCTCAGAAATGAAATTCTGACAATACAATCACCAATGAACCTAATGAGAAAATAACCAAAAAAAAAAAACCCAACCTAGCTGCTTAATAATCCAATGGGCTCAGACTTTTAAAGGACATGCACAAAAAGATGAGAGAGGCCCATAAGCAAGGATGAGCACTACTTGGTGGCAAAGACTTTAAGAATCTCAAAAAGCACAATATTAAGCTGAGACTACAGAAAAAGGAGGTTAGAATAACAAAAAAAAAAGTTTTCTTAGTAAGAAGAGTAAAGAAGAGATATACTGCTTGGTAAAAATAGAATAATATTAGATGACAGGATATAAACTACTTTACTATTTTTCTTTATCTTCTCTATAAAGCAAAATGATCATAAGACTAAAAAGGGTATAACAAACATGATTAAGGGGAAACCGAAATATCAAATAGATTAGATCACAGTAGCAGCTCTGCTTAATTCCTACAGGACCTTCATCAAGCCACTCCCCTCTCTGTGTCTGTTTCCCTATTAGTAAAATAAAGAGATTAGGCTACATCAGGGATTCTTAACCTGGAGGCCATGAATTTGTTTTTTGGTTTTTTTTAATATATTGATAACTGTACTTCAATATAATTGTCTTTTTTTAGTATTTTATGTATTTAAAAACATTAGTTTGAGAAGGGGTCCATAGGCTTCATCACCAAACTGCCAAAGGGTACAAAAAAGGTTAAAAGTTCCTGGATTAAATAACCTCTAAGTTTCCTTCTGGGTCTAAATTCCGTGCAACAGTTGCTTTAAAGGAATACATATCTCTAGGCCCAAATGAACACTACCCCAGATATTATCATGAAAGATTTTGCAAGTGTTACTGCTAAGCCCATAATCTTCAAAGACTATGGAGATTAAGAAAGGTATCAAAAGACTTGTCTATGTCTAACATCCTACTTTTCAGGAAACGGTAGATTCTGGATAGTACAGATTAGTGAAATGTTTTGTGGCCACTTAAAAAGTAAGTAATGCTAGCTATGAGACAATATGGGTTCAATCAGAACAAGTCATTGCAAACTAACCTAATTTCCCTTATCAATGGGATTTCAATGGGCCTGTCCATCAGAAGCATGCAATATAGACAGGTATAGATTATAGATACAGATATAGATGTAGATAATCTGAATGCCAATGATACATGTAAGAAAGTTTCCTTGTCAGGTTCAACACTTTATTACCCATGACTGGGACAAAAAAAAAAAATACAGAAGGTTGATTTATCAAATTTGCTGATATCATATAATTATGGGAGATAATCAATATACTTTAGGACAGAATCATGCCCCCTAAATATTGATAGACTAGGATAAACATAACAAGATGAAATTTAATACAAATAAATATAAAGTATGTTACTTAAGTTGAATAAGTACAATGCACAAGTAAAGAACAGGGAATTCCCGGCTTAAGAGCAGTTCACACTGAAAATAATTAAGAGTTTTATTTGGCTGTAGGCTCATTGATTCTACAAGATGTTGTGGCTGCCAAAAATGCTGATATGATCTTGGGTTTTCTTTAACAGAAGAATAATGTCCAGAAAAGTGGAAGAACCCTACTATATTCTGTGTTAGCAAGATGACATATGGAGTAGTGTATCTATTACTGGAAACCAAAATGACTGGAATTCAACCAGAATATAAGAACCATTCCATAAGAAGAATAGAGACCAAAGATTTGGGACTGAGATAAAAGGAAATTTAGGGGGCCATGACAGTTGTCTTTAACTATCTCAAGGGCTATTACATCAAAGAAGAATTAAACATTCTATAAAGCTCAAAGGAGGCAAAACTAGTACAAACGGGCAAAAAGTTACAGGGTGACAGATTTCAGTTTAATATAAGGAGAAGCCTTCTAATGCCTTCCCTGCTACCAGAGTTTAAAAACAGACTACCTAATCATGTGTGAGAGATGTTGTAGAACACTGGGTAGGATACTGGACTAGCGGTAATTAAACTCCTCCAACAGCGACTACACTGGCCATTTTGAAGTAGAAGTAGAAACAAAATAGATATACATCCATTGAGGAATGGCTAAAAAAGATGTGGTAGATGAACATAGTGAAATACTGTGGACACATAGATACATGTACATATAATATGTACTCTCTAACTACATTTATATTACATTAACCATAAGAAATGATGGAAATGATGAACACAAAGAAGCATGAGAAGATTTACATGAACTGCAGCACAGTGAAGTAAGCCGAATCAGGGACAATACAGACTCAAAAACAAATAGACACAATGACTGTAACAATGGAAATAGCAATCAAAACTGACTGCGGTGAAATTATAAGGACTAATCCTGGCCACCAAATATGTGTGTGTGTGTCTGTATCTATATCTATATCTATATCTATATTTATGTTTGGTGCCTAGGCTTTGTCATCTATAGACAGGCTTATCTATATGAAGGCACATTCTTGCTTTCTTTGGAGAGAACAGGGAGATTGGTGTGGAATACTACATATAATATCAAACTTTTTCAATGTGTTGCAGAAAAGTTTTTTCTTTTTTATTCTTTGCTATAAAAGATGACTCACTGTGAAGGGGAAGGAAGGATGGGTTAATTGGGAATTTATTTTATAAAGATGGGTTCATGCTGGGAAGTTTTGGAACAAAGCAGTCACTGGTTCCATAAAATCAAAACTCCTACTGCTAAGAGATTTTGTAGGCTCTTCCCTTTTTTCTATCTATCTGCCTATCCTTTGCCACTCTATACGGTTATTTGTTTTGAAAAGAAAAATCCCATTGAATACAGGTGATCCTCCCAAAGAAGGCACTATTCTCCTTCCACTTCCTGCCAAGCTATATGTCCCTACTTAAGTGTAGAGGGAGATTCTATTCACTGCTTTTAGCCATTCTCTGGCTAAAACTTTTCCTGAATGACCTCTCTTTCAAACTACCTTGATTTTAACTATTTTCCATTTATTCTCTTTATATTTATTATGCATATATTTACATATACAATTGCTACTGCCTTCATTAAAATGAAAGCCTATTAAAAGTAGGGATACAAAGTCATTGTATTTGTATCACCAGCAACTAATGCAAAGCCTGAACACAGTAGGTGTTTACTGATTGATTATACAATGTTCACAACTGAATCCTTTAAGACAGAAGAAATCTGCCCTGAGGAACCTTCTTCTCACTGCTCCCTCATTTCTCTGAGAGGCAACATTGCTTTTATCCATTTTATTAATAAGTGAAAATGTCCCAGAATAAAAGGATAAATCCAGTTATCCACACAGTAAGACCCTAAATCTTTCTTTTCCTCTCTCCTACTAGGCTTTCTGGAGACTTGCAGGCAGTTAATAAATCCTGAGTGCTGGAAGATTTCCGTAAGGAGAAACCCTTGAGCACAGAGTTGAAAAGTTGAAAAACTGCTACTCAACAGTGCCGCTATGTGAGCTCTCATTCAGTTAGTTTGACACTTAGATGAAGAGTCCCCTGCAGATTTAGCTAAAAAAGTAAAATTGTATTCTGAAGCCAACAGTTTTACTCCACAGAGCTGCCAGTTTTTAGCAGCTCAGGGTGGGGGGAAGAGAAGGAAGGGGTAGGAGGCTCAGACTTCTCAAGTCCTTCATAAAAATGAAATGGTTAAATGGAGTAGGGGTGAGGCAGAAAAAATGAGGGGAAAAAAAAAGAAATTTACATGATAATTTTGTTGTATTATTTGAAAGGAAGAGCATATTGTGCATAGTAGATTTGCAGTTTCACTGCAAATATTTTACTATGTTATAGGAATGCTTGTTTTATTCCATAAACATATATTAATGTTTTTCAAAAGGAAAAGGCACAGAAAGGTTATTTTAAATGCAAGTCACAGCAGTGAGGCCCTGGACAACTTGTAGGTTAATAGTGAATGCTGGGCAGCAGCAAATAAAGAATCAACAGGAGGGCCAAGAAAGGAAAAAGGACTGAGGGAAGAGTCATTAATAAAAGGCTCTGGGGCTATTAGGTCATTAGCCAACAGAAATATTTCCCTCCTTTAAAAAAGGCATTTCCATGTTTGTTTTTAAAAATATAGTCCCCAAAGTCCTCTTTCTTAAATATAAAGTCAAAATAGTTACCTGAAGCATGGAGGAGTGTTATATAAGGAGCTGTTCCCAGCTTGGACTTTGTAGTCTAACACAGATGGGCATTCTTTCAGCGCAAATCCCAGTAAGTCCTCCCGCACTATCACCACGGTGACCCCAGCGGAGCCAACATTCTTCTGGGCACCAGCAAAAATCACACCAAACTTTAAAAAAAAAAGGCTGTTTTAAGAGGTGGAGTCCCAAAGATCATCAAATCCAACTCTTCATTTTGTAGATGGGAACCTGCCCCTGCAGAAGTCATACAGTGAGGAAGATTCTGAAGCAGGATTTGAATCTAGGCCTTCTTGATCATTGATACATATTTGTTTCCAAACTACTTCTATATATGATAACAAACCAATTATCAGAAGATAAATACATAGCAAATTTCAGAGGCCTATATGCTTTGTTTTCAACAGATAATAAATGACCATCCAAGTGAACTCAAATTAATTATAAATATATATTTACAAATATATATAAATATAAATTATATATTTTCATTCTAGAGTCAGACCATGGAATCTGAAGAGACATCAAATACCCTCATATTTCACAGATGAGAAAACTGAGATACAGAGAGGCTAAATTAACTTGCCCCAGGTCACAAAGGTAGTGTCAAAGGCAGCATTTGAGCTCAGGTCCCCTGATTTATCCAATACTCCTTTCAAAATGCCACTTTGCCTCTGATGTTTTTTTAACAGCACTTTGTTTAGATTTGGATTTTTCTTTTGCTTTATTTACCATATCTTATCAGCTATTTCATTTAATTGGATGTATATTTTCCCTTCATCCAATTGTGTATTCCTGGGGAGGAGACAACATAGTGGTATTTTTTTTTTACCAGATATCCATAACAGGCACTTAATAAGCATTTGTTGAATTCAATCAGATAAAAACTTTAACATGGGGGAATTATATTCACATGTTCCATACATATTATATATTCTTGCTCTTTATCTCCTCTGCCTCAAAGCAATAAAATGGGCTTGACATTTATTGTTCCTGGTAAACCAAAGAAAGTGCTATAGGGTTCATGCAATTGTGTTCAGAAGAGGCCAAGCCAGTTTTATCCTCCTTTCACTTAGGGCCACCCTCATATGTGTAGTATATTACCTTGGCTTCACATCAAGTGGAAACCAGAGATAAGTAAAGATGAAATCTTATTTTGTGTCAAAGCCAGGCACAGTGTAAAAGACTACACCTGCAGTGAATGATACTACATTCCCAGGTGAGATGATCCTCAAAAAAAAAAACAAAACAAAACTGATTTTCCATCTTTTCCATGAAAGTACAAGCTATGCATCTACCCAGTAGCCTTCTTCTAAGCATCTACTCCAACTCCTTACCACATCCACTGCTTTCAGCCATGCTTTGGCTAATGTAATGTCCAAGAGTGGCCCTACTCTGAATGCTATCAAAGGACTTTAAAAACAACAGCAACAAAAAAATCTTTTCAGTGCAACTGAAAATATTAAGACATAATATTTTCTCCACCCTGAAACCCTTTCTAGACTCTATCCCATAAAAACGTAGGGATAGCAAAAGGTAATGGGGAAATGGAATATGGATGAAAAACAAACTTAACTCTTACCTAGTTAAGGTCATTCATTGCCTCCTCATCCCCTGGAAGTTATGACATCTGAAGTTACTCACCATCTAAGGGTAGCATCCCATTTTGCATTCAGAGTTAAGAATGGGTGACAAAGAAAAACCTTTTCAATCCTCAAAAGAGGTCCACGAAGTAAAATTGAATGATCAAAATTCTGGAAGGCTAACCCAAAACTGTATTTTAACATATTATAATCATCACTCCTTCAATATTCCTATAAATATCACCTCAAATCATCTCAGGTTAGACATCTAAGGGCATGAGGGAACTATGCTAGTTTGGGACATCTTGAGGCTAGAAATGTAGAGATTATAAAATAGCATTAAGTTAAATAAAATTGTTTCTGGCAGATTTGTGCCAAAACAGGTACAGTATAATTTTTTTAAAATTTTACAATATGTAGGTGTGCAAAAGAACAACATAGGTAGAATCACCTGTGGGACAAGTTCACACCTTCTTGTCAAAGTGCCATAAAGAGGTCTTATCCCTTTTGATAATGCTCTAATATTCTCCTTGCACTCTCTCCTCCTGCCCAAGAAATACATGCCTAAGATTGCATGTTTTGCATCCCTTCAGAAAACTAAAAAGAGCACTGGCTCCATGGAACCAGGATGCTTAAGAAAGGGACAAACTGGCCTAGGTCAGAAACAGAGACAGTTGAAGCTTGTGTGCCAATCAGTATTGGATTGGTCATGAGTAAATGAGTAGCCCCTGAACTTCCAGACTGGGAAGGAAGGAAAGAAGGAAGGAAGGATGGAAGGAAGTAAGAGAAAGAGAAAGAGAATAGAGAGAGGAGAGAGGGAGGGAAGGAAGAAGAAAAGAGAAGAAAAGAAAGAGAAAGGAAGGAAGAGAGAAAGAAAGGGAGAAGAGAAAAAGAACAAAGGAAGGAAGGAAAGAAAGAAGGGGAAAAAAAGAAAAGAAGGGAAAATAACTAGAACACTGGGCTTCCCCAAAATGGTAATCTTTTGTACAGTACCTTAGAAACATCCACTGGTTTGGATAAAAAGTTGGAGGACATGTCGCAGACGAGGACTGCTCCTTTGACATCAGGTATAAAATCAAACTCCACACCATGGACAGTCTCATTTGCACAGTAATACACATAAGATGCATCCGGGTTGAGATTCCATGTGCTTGGATCAGGAATCTCTAACATTTAAAAAAAAAAACAAAGATTCAAGATAGGGTCCCATTTTTCTTTACTGGTTCATGATTTTTTTTCCTTTTTGGTGGAGAGCAAACCCACAAATCCCTCAGCACAATAAGTGTAATTATGCCAATCTCCCTCCCACAACATTTGAGGGGAGTCATGACTCAGTCAGTCAATAAACATTTATTAGGTGCTTCCTATGGGCCAGGTACTGAGCTAATACTCTTTCCAAAGTACACTTCACCTATCATATGGTAAAGAGGAAAATTTACAAAAGAGATACAAAGAACAGCAAAAACAGGCCCTGTCCCCCAAGGAGCTTATATTCTAATGAAGAAGACAATATGTAAATAAATAGGTACATACAAAGGGCAAAACTGGTATGACTCTTGTACTCATAGGAAGCTTCAACTCATTTAAGGCTTTCCCATTCTTATCATTCCTATAAGACTGTTCCAATCTTTTGCCATCACCCTAGTCACCTTCTTTCCATTTTCCATGCATTTATTTTTAAAATCTGAGCTGGATAATGAGCTTCCTATGCAGGCACGTTGGTTTCTTAAGACAACTAGCTCCTCCATTTTTCTTCATGGAAATCACTTATATTTATGTAGTCAGAACTTTATTACAAAACATTCCATACACAAATTATACTATATTGCTATTTTGGAATAATTTCCATCCTAAATAATAATAATCACCATCCTAAAGAATACTTTGCACCCATCCTTCACAGGACAGAATAATTCTCAATAAGCAGATGCTGTCCTTCAACTATATTTAGGAAGTTTTAAAAAGGCTCACTGCCCAATCAGAATTTAATAAAAATGTAACTGATAATAAGAAGGAATTAAAAATCCCTGAGTCATCCTAAAATATGAAAAAATTACTGGCCAGAAGCAACTTGTAATGTAGAGTTTTTCTGCACTTTTCTGCACTGAACTCAACCCCAATCACTTACTTGTATAACTCTCAAGTTTGGGATGAATGATTTTAACAGTAGCAAACTTTTTGGCCTCTTCAGCTGCCTTGGCAGACCAAGCTCCAGTCACTACATAATCAGCACACCTTCCTTCTTTGAGTCCAATCAAGTTTAACGGGACGGCACTAAACTGCCCAGTTCCACCTCCTTGCACAAAAATCACCTTGTAGTTGTTAGGAATATTTCTGTATCAAAGCAGAGGTAACATTTAATACAAAGCAACATGGAGCTAGGGGATTCTTACTGACTCAACTATAGAGTGTTTATGTGTGATGCACGGAATAAAAAGGACACTGAACCAGGTTTAGAGAGATGAGCTCTACTAATTTTCCATGACTTTAAATAGCTGTGGGACACGGAGTCCTTTCCCCTCTGTTTCCTCCTCTGTTAAATGAGGGAGCTAAGACAGAGGATTTCTAAAGTCCCATCCTGCTTTATAACTCTATCACACTAAATAGAATAAAACCTACATTGTAAAATCCACCTTCTTATATGATCATTTTGGTTATACTCTGGATCTCATCAGGTGTCCCTTGTACATATACATCAAGCAAATCTCTCTCATCTTAACATCCTCTATTCACCAGAGAAACACAGGGGTTTCACTATACTACATAAAATATTACAACATTCCTTTTTACCTTGGCAGGTTAAAAACATACCAGAAAATCAATGACTATATGTATACATATTATTATCTCTCTTCAAACAATCTCATGAAGGACAAAAAAATCTCGATGGCATCAGAAATCTTCAGAACACCAAAAACAGTGGCAGATTAACACTTTATAAGTGATTAAGCTGTGAATGATTTTTTTTCACTATAAAATCAATTTTAAATCAAATTACTTTTTCAAATATGACTTGAGATTTTTAAAAATTTAATTATTAAGTATTAAAAGGTATTATTAGGTAATTATTCTATTAATTTATGAAAATGTAGGTCCCTATCTGAAAATAAACAAAATACTGTTCAACCTCAGCTCTCTCCAATGCAAACAGTTCCAACTCCCGTGCTTCATAAAAAGAAATAAGAAATTAAAACTACCCCCCAAAAACCCCACAAGGCTGAGAACAGGGAAAATAAATCACACAGGATGTGTAGTGTATTAAATAAACAATATTAACATAATTCAGTGTTTTAAAAATAAAACTTACAGCAATTCCTGCACCAGATTCTCTGTTGTTTTTACAATTTTAGCAAAATCAGATGATCTATGGCTCATTTCTGTTGGAAGTAGGAAAAAGTAGAAGAAACTTTGATAAACAACACACAAATGAAAGATTCCAGCTACAATACATCTTTAAGTATGGAAAAACTAGATTGTTTCTAGGTAGATGCAAGTTTCAAACCTGAAAAGTCTCACAAAATACAGGAATCTTACCAAGAACACTGATTCCAAGTCCTTTGTAGTCTAACAACTCCTTCTGTGCTTCTAGCAATACCTGTAGGAAAAAAGAAAATTACTTCATAATAGCATTTGTATTACCCATCTCTAAATCAGGTAACATAGACCCTAAGGACCCACAAATAGAAGCAGACACACAAAATATTAACAAATCTGGTTCAGATAAAAAAGAATATAGCTCACAAGGGGTTATGTCTAAATAGTGTATATGTGGTAGGGAGGAAAGGGAATGCCTGAGATGGGTATTTTTAATCAAGGAATAAATGGCTATAGAAAGGTAAGGCATAAGATAAGGTATGCTGGCAAATGTTTAACAATTAGCTCTCCAAAAAATGTTTATTTAAAAATTTAACTTTCATTATTAACATTTTCTCCATCACTTTAAGTCTGTACAATCAAGAAAACAATATATCACACCCTTATTTATAGCACTTGTTGATTTCTGCATTGTAATTGGGTGGCTAGATGGTGCAGTGGATAGAGTGCCAGGCCTGGAGTCAGGAAGACACATTTCCTGAGTTCAAATTTGGCCTCAGACACTTACTAGCTGTGTAACCTTGGGCATGTCATGTAACTGTTTGTCTCAGTTTCCTCATCATTAAAATGAGCTGGAGAAGGAGATGGCAAACCACTCTAGGATCTTGACCAAGAAAACCTTCCAAATGGGGTCATAAAGAGTTGGACACAACTGAAAAATGACTGAACAATAGCAATGAGTTAGAAGTGCTCATACTGAAAATTTAACAATCAATTCCAGCCTATCTGAGTTGGCTCCAGAATACCCTTGGATTATGACCAAGTTGGTCTTAATGTCCAGAAGCTCACCCTTCCCGCTTTATCCTAACTGATTATCCCTTCAATTTATAGGCGTTAGAACCTGAAAGAACTTTGGGGAATCATCTTTTAAAACTTTCCCAAAGCCACTGAACAATTTCAGTTAAACTGAGAGAAATTTAAAGACGTAAAAAAATAAGACTTGATTTTATACATGATATGGGGGATGCGGGGGTACTTTTTAACAGAAATCACATAATAGAAATACATTCCAAAAATATTGACAGGCAGGTAAACTTGGAGCAAAAAACTCCACTCTACAGCAAAAAAAAAAAAAAAACAACTTTACTAATTGCTTACATGCAGTATCTGCCTCCTCTACTTTGGAGTTCACCAGGGTCCATTTGCCACATAACGTAGTTGATGACACAAGAAACAAAGGCACTGGCTGGTGATAGAAAGTGCTGATCTAACTAAACTATCATGGAGGCATCCCAGCCACAGGCTGAAGGAGGAGATAGTTTTCCTGCTGACCAGCTCTGTTTCTGCTTATGCAATTCACCCAAAAGTTAAAATTTTAATTCTAAGATGAGATTGATGCAATAGTTCTCCTAAGGCATGAATTCAGTTAGATATTAACTACGATTTTGTTGTTTTGTTTTGTTTTGTTTAAACAAACTGCCAAGTCAATACTTTTTAAAAACTCCTATAGATGTTTGTTAAATTTCGGATAGGAGTAATTGAGGAAAAAAAAAAAAAACAATCCATGCTTTATTCACTGGGATATACTGGTTAAAGACTTCCATTCTAAAATGTAAAAGTAATTCACAATTCTCCCAGAGCAAAACTAAAACGCATCATCCAATCAAGTGGGATGTGGTTTCTGCATCTGTAAAAAAAGAAGTGGTTGGATTAGATACAGCCAAGTATGACGTGGTGGAAAGAACACTGTTATGGGGGTCAAGGGACTTGAGTGCAAGTCAAAGCTTTGAGGCCTGCTAGCTGAGTGGCTTTGAGTGAGTTATGCCCCCTCACTGAAACCTCAAGTTTACTTATTTGTAAAATGAGAGGATTAGACAATTTCTAGCTCTATCCTTAGAATGCTGATATACCAGAAGGAACACTGACACTGGAGTCGGAAGATCTGGGTTCAAATCTCAGCTCAAACATTTACAACCTGTGTAGTCTTGGGCAAGTTCCTAATATGTAAATTAAGGGAACTTAACTGAGGTCCCTTCTAGTTCTGAATCTATCTTGAATGATCTAAGAGTAACTGCTTCAGTAATCTACTTTATTTTGGATCTTTAATGTTGCTTACAAGAGACAAATTAAAAATAATTACCAAAGTAAACCTGATATATTTTTAGGATGTAAATACAGCAAAAGGGGAGACAGGACGGCATAATGGGTAGCGTCGAGCCTTTTAGGTGTGGATCCTTCATGACCTTGGGAAAGTCACTTAACTTCATCTACATTGGGGAAAGGAGTTTCCAAACCAAGAGTTCCCTACACAGGTAAGATCATAGGTCTCCAGGGTTGGGGAAACTGTGGCCTCAAGGCCACATGTGGCATTCTAGGTCCTTGGATGCTGCCTTTTGACTAAGTCCAAGTTTTACATAACAAATCCTTTTATTAAGGGGATTTGTTCTGTGAAGCTTGGATTCTGTCAAAGGGGCTGCACTTGAGGACCTAGAGGGCCACATGTGGCCTTGAGGCCAAAGGTTCCTCACCCCTGGCTCTAGACCAAAAAAAGAAAAAAAAAAGCCAAGGACAACAACAAAACTAACTGCACTAAAGCAACCAGAAGCCATGAGACTTATGACCTCTCTTCATAAAGACTACAAAAAACACACATAAGCACACAGACCCCCCCCCCTTACAGGTTCAACTTCTTTCTGTGGGAGCTCAACCATGCAAATAAAAGCAGTTACTCAGGATAGCATGGTGAGAAGAACACGGTGTTCAAATTCCAAATCTGCTAACTATCCTTGTGACTTTTATCTCTCTGGACCTCAGTTTTCTCATCTGCAAAATGAGTGAGCTGGACATCGTGATGTCTAAGGTCCATTCTAGCCCTAATGACCTAAAACTCTCAGATGGACCACTAATCCCTCTGTCTCACCTAGGTCAAGGAGGCACATACCCCTCTATCACTTAGGACCTGAAGTATGTGAAAGATTAAAAGGAAGTTATTAATTCCTGAAATTCAGCGTTTTTCTAGCTTCATCATGAGGAATGAGGATGACCCCTGGACTCTCAAGGACTATGCTGATAGAACAGAAATTCTGGTAGGTCCTACCAAGCTGGAAAGTATTCCAGTTCAGACTCAAACTATTATCCAAGGCCCAGACTAGGACCAAAAAGTAATGAATTTTTCAGATATAGCAAACTCTCAGACCATCTAGTAACTTACAGGGTGATGGTAATCTATGTCAATGGAATGTTTACTCATACCGTTTAAATCACAGATCCTTGAATCTGTGATCCATAGCTCTAAATCTATGCTCATATGAGCCTAAGTATTTCTACAGCTAAGCCCTTTTCTTATAATGTTAAAATTCTGGTAGTAATTACACAAGTAAAATATTAAGTCTGTTACACAAATAACTCCCTGGCACTAAGTCACGCCCCACTCAATAAAAAGGTTGCAAAAACTTTCGACATAAAAATTAATAAGTACAGGAGTCTGGCAGAGGAACTAAAGGTAACATAAAAACTAAGGAATAAAGTAAAGTCTTATCTCAGCCACAGGGATGGTTTATCATTCACTAGATGGACATCATCTCTGAGGAAACTCTCTGTGCTCAAATTCTCTTTTCTTTCAAAACTGAGGGTCTCTTTTGTATCTATAACACTACAAAGCTGTGTTTTTATCTGTCATAGCATTAGATCTTGTGGCACATGGGAGAGGAATGCTTCATAGCCGGGGCCTCAACCTCAGATTTAACAATGAAAACAACTATCACTATTCAACTACCGAACAGGAGTGTTACAATGCCTCAGCAGGCTTAATATCAACTATGATACTGCAAAAGTTAGCTTTTTCTTCAGATAATGCATTTTTCACCAAAAAAATTAAAAACTCTTAAATTTTAATTTTGAATTGATATTATTCCTTACTTTTTTGTGTCTTATTTTTCATGCCTTAAAAAAAAAAGTATGGACTTGGGCAAGACTCACATACGATAGGTGGCAGTTGAGTTTCAGATCCAAAATGATTAAGAAATCAGAGATCCCCTGGAGTATTTGAGAATAAGAATGTACTTCATTTGTAGGTGGAAGCAACAAGGGCCACTCAGCACCTCCAAGGGCTCAATTAAGAATTTTTGTCCCAACAATAGATTAAGCAACGGGCTAAATTCCATTTTACTTAGATTATAATATTGGAACTCATTGGGTTTGGCACCAGAGATTGCCAATCAGAGACTGCTGCTTTTTTCTTTTTCTTTCTTCCTTTCCTTCTTCCTTCCTTCCTTTTTTTTGGGGGGGGGGGGGGGGGCTGAACCAGTGATTTAGACAATTTAATTAGAGAAGCACCTTCACCAATGCTGTTAAGGCAGCTTTGGTTTCTCAGGGTTGCCCAGGGCACTGAGAGATTGTGATTTGCCCAGCCAGTCTGTCAGAGATGGGACTTGAATCCAGTCTTTCAAACTCCAAGGCCTCTTCTCTATCTCATCTGATTTAGAAAAAATAATAATCTAGCAAAAGCAGCAGCTTGTCTTTGGGCCCTTTAGCTGAAGAACCAGAAGCAGTTCTCTTAACAGTCCATGGAGTTCATTTGAGATTGGAAAGGGAAAGCAAAGCATTTTCTTCCTTCTTGACCAAGAGAAAACTTGTCTGTCTCATCATTGGGCAGTGTCTTATGGAGAAGGGAGCAGAGAGGGTGGACAGGATTTCCCTCTGGAAATCTTCCAGATTCCAGATCCCTTGAATTCCATTGCAAAGAAAAAGTGGTTGAACCCTTCCACTACTTCACGCCCCTCCGCCCCCGGGCCTCCCCTCTGAGACTACCAACAATTATAACAAGTGTCGTTTGCACATGGTCTCCCCTCCCCTCACAGAAGGCAGGAACTGAGTTTCTTAGCGCTTAGCACAGCGCCTGGCACGTGGTGAGCACTTGATAAATACTCAAAAGACTGACTGATTGACTGACTCGGGATGAAAAGAGAGAGGAAAAGTGCGCTGGCAACCCATCCCCAGATCAGAGTGGTGAGTGATGGGATAGAGCGCTGGCCTTGGACAGAATCAGGTGCGAACCTCACCTGTGCCACTTACTAACAGGTGACCCTGGGAGGAGCTTACTGAGAAACCAGAGAGCTGGATTGGAGGAGCTCTCCTTCCACCTCTATGATTTCTTCGCCCCCCCCCATCACTCATCAGCCCCGCCCCCCCCCAAGCCCACAGAGACATGTATGCGATGCCTGGAGGCTGTCCTAGGTCAGCCTGGGCTGGGGAGTTCCGGGGTGGGGGGCTGCTGCAGATAGCTCTGCCAGGCGCAGACTGCACGCCCGGGCAGGGCACGGAGCCCTGGCAACGAGTCAAACAAGGGGCCGTGAGGCGGTTCTGCACCATCGCTTGAGTTGCTACGGCGCCAACCAGACCTTGGCAGTGGCCTTGACCGTGCCATCCTGGTTCCCGTGTGCATTTCAAATTCCCTTGGGCAAAGGCTCTACGGCTGCAAAAGGGGGAGTAACGGGGGGCTTAGTAGGGAACCCCGCTGCAGAAGGAGCTCCCGGCTGCAAAGGAAGAAAGATGCCAAGGAAGCCACAAAGCCGCCTCCCCCTAACGCTCCTACCACCTCCCCCGGTCCTTCCGCCCACCTGGGTGAGCGCCGGGCACTTACGGAACGGGGCAGTTTGGCAGGTCCCGGGCCGAAGTTGACCACCTGGCGCGGGGTGTCCATGGTGCTGAGCGCGGCGCTGGCGCAAGCCCGAGAGTCCCGGAAAAGAGAGAGAGAGAAAGCGCGCGGCGCGAGGATGCCAGCAGCTAGACCTCCTGCTGCCTAGTGCTGGTGCCCTCTCCGCGCCCCCAGCGCTCAGCTCGCGGCCCCACCGGCCCTGCTTTTTCATTGGCCCCCGTTGTCCACAGCCCTCGGCGGATTGGTGGGACCCGAGGCGGCTCGCAGTCTCATTGGCTAAAGATCCACGAGCTGGCAGCGTGATCGTTCCTCCTTCCATCGCCTCCGCTCGCGAGCCCTCGCTCGCTCTTTCAAGTTTCCAGCCCCTTTTCTATGCAAGGCAGGCTAGAGATTGCACCATCTGACAATGGCTAGGGGCGGTTCTGTTCTCATTCTCCTTTCTTTAGCTCCCAGACTGTTTCTCTGTACAAGAAAAAGACAGAGAGACTGGGGACTGTGAACTAAAGCTTAGTTTTGTTTTGTTTTGTTTTGTTTTTTTGAAAGGGGGAGTCATAGCTTGTGTTTGTCTAAGTCAATCAGCAAACATGCATTTATTAAGTGCTTGTTAAGCGTCATTCCCTTTGCTAAAAGCTGAGGATACAAAGAAAGGCAAAAAACACAGTCCCCCCCAAGGAGCTTACATTCTAATGAGAGAGCGCCCTTACAGACACAAGATCTTTGGCAGTGAGCTGTAGCCATGGCTAAATACTACAATTAACTTTACTAGGCTTTCGCCTGCCTTGGAGCTATCTTTTTCTTTGCTCTTTAAGAAGCTTGATACCTTCTGGAGTTTAGGAGAAGGGTCAATAGAGTTTTCATTGCAACCCTCATCTCTGGAAAAGTTGGGGAGGGAGAAGGGGCTGCAAGTGGAGGGCACTGTTGAGGTTCAGGGAACCATATGTTGAGGTTTAGGGGTTCTGGGACCCCGAAATAACAACATACGGGTCCTGCCCAAATGAATTCAACCCAAGCCTTCTTTCAACCAAAGACAAGGTTTATGAAAGGTCCGCCATATTGTCCAGACTCAAGGAATCTAAACATTTGTGATGCTCCTATTGATAAGCGTGTTAGAGTAAATCTCAGTTATTGGCTAGATTTTAAGAATCTGAGCACTTGACTAAACTCTTAGAGAATCTGAGCACCTTAATGGAGGCTAGATGGACCTTATATACAGAAAGACTGTGGGAGGGATCTAGGAGTGGCCAAGTAGTTTGGGGTGACTGTAGTAGTTAGGGAGGATCTTGATGGGGGTGGCCAGGAGGAGGGGTCTAGGGAGAATCTTCATGGGAGTGACTGGGATGTCCAGAATGAGGCCTAGATAGGATCAACAATGGGAAGTAGGTAGAGGCCATCAGAGGTAACAGACAGGTAATGAAGGGCTGGGCTAGGTTAAGGATAACAGAGAATTGGAAGATTGGACATAGGCTCGATAAAAGGCCTGTTGATAGGATTATAGCCTCAGGCAAACCCTAGAGACTTCCTTCGTCTAGTGGGAGTTCTAGGAGAGCCCAAAGTGGGGTTTTCTAGAGCCCAAAGACAAATGGGACCCAAATTCTTTTGGGGATAAGGGGCAAAGGTCTCAGCTTGGGCCCATACCGAATCAGCAACACTACACTGTCTCCTGGAGGGTGCTCCTTTTACAATTAATAAAGAGAAAACTGATTCTAAAAGTCTTGCTTTGGGGCCCAGAATGTAAACTTGTGCTAAATTCACTCTGATTTCTTAATGAAGAAATAATTTTTAAAAATTTTTAATTTTCTTTGCTATTCTTAATAACAATAGCTAACATTTATATAGTGCAAATGTATCTCATTTGATCCTTCTGTGAGGAACGACCCTGTGAGGTAGGTGCTATTATTAACCCTATTTTACAAATGAGGAAATCGAAGCCCCAGAAAACTAAAATGACTTGCCCAGGGTCACACAGCTAATAAGCTGCTGAGGCAGGATTTGAATGTGGATTTTCCTGACTCCAAGTTCACTGCTCTACCAAAAATAGGAAAACCACAATAGACTTGTTGAATAATTTAGCTAGCTTATGCATATACCTTTAAAGGCTATGCAATCAAATCTATCATGAGGAAGCTCTCAAGATAAAGTTTTGTAACTGTTGTTGACCTTTTTTCCCCTTTTTATTGCATTTTCTGTCATCTATCTTTGACCCAGTCTGCTCCACCAGAAATGCAGTTGCAAATCAAAATGGAGGAAGAAGCAGTAGTGAATGATTGAGTAATTCTGTTGAACTGAATAAGTATGGACAACTACTAAGCTTTGCTGCAATTTGGTAACTCCAAGGGTAGATATTTGAGAGAGAACAGTGCTTTTGAGGAAAAGTTACAGCACCTGGAACATGTGGTCACTTTAAGTACAACTGGGCTATTACTCAATTTCTAATTAATACTTGTCCTAACAATATGTCGCCAAGATATTTAGGTTTAATAATGGATTTTAGGTTGATGTTACTGAAGACAAGATTACTTAATGCAGACCTCAACTGATTCAATCTCCTTGATAACTAAGCAAATTCTCTAATTTTTAAACTAACTTGCCAACTAGTCAAACTCTAACTTTCACCAAACTCTCCAAAATTCGATGGATGGCTGAGAGAGAGGCAGAGTGGAACAGAGGTGGTTTGTGCAAAGTTGTTGGGGAGTGGGGTATGTCAGTTTCTCAAATTTAAAGGGTTAAAAGAAGCTGGAGTTGTCAACTGGTGTTATCTTAGTACTTTTAGGCATGCCTACAACCTTAAATTTCTGCAATGAGACCTTTGTACAAAGCAGGTCACAAATTACTGCCACAGGGACTTTGGAGCAGAAGATTGCATCCTACAAATATGGGAAATGTAAACAGATAAAAAATTAAACATTTTTTTTTTGAGATCAGATATCCCTCTTGCCCACATAGGAAGTACTTATGGGCTGATCCCATTATTGATTGACACAGGAGCTTTGACCTGCTCCATTTTCAACCTGGGAAGATGAAGAGCCCTAAGTCTGGTGGCCCTGGCTTGGGGGCTCACCATATTAATCATCAGATTTAGTGCAGACACACTTAACCCACTGTAACAGAGAACTCTCATGCTCAAGATGCACCAGCTTTGCACGTAAGTACTTAATAAATGATTTATTCATTCTTTCATTTCAGCCTCAGCCTCCCTCAGTAGCAGAGATTACAGGCATGAGCTACCATGCCTGGCAGAAATTAATTCTTATACTGCTGCATGAGCCTTCTTTAACTATAGCATGAGAAAGTCAAAAGAAAACTAGATCTAAAATCAAAAGACAGGTTCAAATCCTGGCTAAACTGTGTAACCTTAGACAAATTACTCCTCCTCTGGTCCTCAGTTTCTTCATCTGTAAAATGGTGGGTGGGACTAGACTGCTTCTTAAATTGTAGGGTGTGACCTCGTATGGGGTCATGTAACTGAATGTGGGGGTCGCAAAAAATTTGGCAACAGTAAAAGGTTTCTGAATGGTGTAATGACCAAAAATTAATTCAAAATCAAATGTATAATGAATCTGTGGTGTTTCTGGCAGCACTTGCCCCCGTTGCATCACCAACTTCACTGCAGCCTTGGTTCTGAACACACAACATGTGCACTTTGCACTGCCCTCAGGCTACACAACACCAAGAAACACTGCCAGAAACACCTCGGCTCAGATTTGAGACTACTGTATGTTATGATTTGCAGTGTTTTTACTGCATATACAAAGTTTTCTGCTCTTACAGAAACATAATAGTTTAATCATGGAAAATAAAGACTTTTAATATTTTTCTACCATCATTCCTTAGCATATAAGTATCAAATCAGTATATCTTTGGATTGTATTATGTTAGAATGTTTGATTTTTAAAATTGCTGTTATCTCCTTCTTTTACAGAAACATAAATGTTTAATTGAAGCAAATAAAGACAAAGGCCTTTCAATAATATTTTCTTCATCATCACCACTGTATGTGTATGTAAATGTGAACATCAGCTTTTTCATTAAGCACTAACAAATGTAATTTCATAAACTAAAGCTAGTATTTATTTGAGAAATTATTAGCAATATTTATTTATATTTTAGGACAAAAATATTATTCAGTTATGGATAAGTGGCTAAATTTAGACAGAAAAGGTAAAAATACTAATGACAATGTGGCAGTCTTCGCTACCAGATTGGAGTACACCTAAATTGACAGGAAAAAGAATCATTTTTGCAATATGGATTTACTTCTAATAATAATGATGATGTGGAAAAACCTCTTTGCTTAATTTGTAATGAAGTTTGGCTGCAGAGAGCATGAAACCAGCCAAACTAAAACAACATCTTAATAGCAAGAAGCATGCAGCGTACCACGATAAGCCAAAGGAATATTTTGAAAGACTTTTGAAATCTTCAAACAAAGAAAAAGGCGCACAAGAGGAGAAGATTCATATCTTAAAGTCGATGAATTTCTCATAAATGAAGGTTTACAATGGAAAAATTGCATCGGAATCTGTGCAGATGGTGCTGGAGCAATGATGGGTAAGAATGTTGGATTTGTAGCAAAAGTTAAAGCTGGTGGCAATGAACATATATCACTTTTACTCACTGCATGATCCATCAGGAGGCACTTGTAGCCAAAAAAACAACACCAGAGTTAGACACGCTTCAAGATATTATCAAAATCATTCACTTCATTAAAAGCTGTGCCTTTAACAGTCATTTGTTTTCAAACCTTTGGAAAACATGAACCCGATGACAAAAGCTATCACTGCATGTAGAAGTAAGGTGGCTCTCAAGAGGGTGAAGTTTAAACAGGTTACTGAAACTGAAAGATGAAGTTGTTATATTTTTGACTGAGCAGAAATCCAATTTTGTTAGTTTTTTTCATAATTATTTATGACTTCAAAACCGTTATTTGTCAGATATTTTTGAACAACTCAATGATCTGAAAGTGTCACTTCAAGGAAAAAATTGTGACATACTTATGTTAAAAGATGAAATTGAAAGTTTTACTAAAAAAGTTAACATATGGAAGAATAGGGTAGAAAATGGTTCTTTAGAAATGTTTATAGCCACAGATGATTTTATAATTGAAAATAGCCTCCCCAAAGATTTAATTGTA